TGATGATCAGCAAGATCAAGGTGGGTATCACAGTATTCTCAGAGGCATGACCCGGGCTCAAAACTGGTGAGTTTTGCGGCTCAAATACCGATGACAAGATGGCCATAGCCTATAATATAGCCGGAGCCGAAGAGTAGCCTTTGTTCACATATTTTGAGTTGTCGAAGTACGTGTAGTACATCCTCCATGATTGCGTACAGGATTGCTATGTCCATCAGCGCATCACATGAACGCGGGGCGTGCCTCTAATCAACATTTGCATACTTGTAATGTCTGTCTACACTGACGGTGTGTTTCAGGCGGAGTGTGGATGTCACTTTACGCTCAAATTAGAGAATATGTTCCGTGATAAGGAATTGTGGACCACGCAGTTGAACGCTTTCAAGGAGTTCCGAGAATCGGTATCGTTTCTTTTTCTGTATTCGTTATTTGGATCACCTTTTATATAGTACTAGTATGATAATTTGGGTGTTGCAATGGTATCAGTGACTCTGTAGGGAGCGCTTCAGTGGACTAGTGAATAAAATCGGACCAAAACTGGCGTCATATATTCGATAATGCATGCACAGGATGTAGTTTTGGGCGAGGCCCACTATTTGACTTATTCGTGACTTTCTTCCCCTCCAACGCAGCTCCCAATTTTTTTTTTCATTTGAGGATCTCTTATGTTCCACAAGTTGTTGGAGAAGGCGGCTCAGTTTCATTTTGGACCCAGCGATTGTATCCAAGAGCTCGTTGCTGCGTTTGGATTTTTCGGGCACATGTCGTGACCATGCACCATGCGCCCTATATCCCAGAAAATAACGTGATAAATTTCACAATATCGACTACTTCTTGGGTATGCGCCGTACATTCAGTGTCTTAGATACGTACGACGGCGAGCTTAGCATAGGTGAAGTTGCTCATGCAATAACACTGTCCAAAATTGCTTTAGCTGGTGGCTACTTGCTTTTTATTGATGTTCCTCTTCCCATGTTTTTTCTTTATTCTTCTTCTTTCTTTTTCTTTTATCCCATAATTGTTAATGTTTTGGTGGAGGTAATGGTTAGATTTCGTTTCAGTATATACGAGGTGCTGGATTAATGGATATTTCTGTACGTGTATTGACGGCAGGCATATGGCCCACGCAAAGTGTTCCAGTCTGTATTCTTCCACCAGCGTGTGAAATTGCTTTTAATGTAAGTTAAGATGCATAGTATGAGTTTGTTTCATCGAGTTTCTCTGAATGTGTTCTTTTTTAGATGTTCAGCAACTTTTACGTGAGTAAGCACAATGGACGAAAACTTACTCTGAACACTATGTTGGGTACGGCCGATGTAAAAGCTGTGTTTTATGGGACTGCTTCACAGAAAAAGGTACGAGCAATGTTACCATGTTGTGAGTGATAACAATCTCTGCAGAAAAGTTTTTTGGCATATACCTGAATATTTGCATTAATTCTGAGAGAGAAGTGTGGGTCTGAGCTGATGATCACTCGATACCAAGTTTTCAAGGCTACAAAAGTAGGAATGTTATCGAATGCCTTTTCCTTTAATTATTTTTTTTTCGGAATTTAGACTCGACTGTTCTCG